AGAAGCAAAAATGATTCATATATTTAAAAATCTTAGAATAATAATGATATAGAATAAAACTCATACTGTTAATAGGTTTATTCAGGAGCAGCTTGCAATACTGGAGCAATAGCTCTTTGTTGACGTTCTTTTATTTTACGCCAGATTATTTTCCATGATTGAAAAATTCGAACGTCAAGTACAGCGATAAAAAATGGATTAGTTACTATTTCTATATAATTAATCAAAGACGTATAAATACCAAGTTTACTATTAACATTAATAAATTGAAAAACAAGTACATTTGGACTCCACAATAGTAGCCATATTGAATAAAATATTATTGTTTGTATTAAAAAAGTTTTTTTTGTGTTTACGACGAAAATTAATTATTTGTTCACTATGAATATCTCTTATTGTGCTCACATGATGAATACAAAGTGCAATGATAATTAAATTTAAACTAATTGGAATGATATAAATGATGAATAGATTAAATATTTCTACAATTAAGGAATTGTATATTATATCGCAAGACTCGCCTGCTTTATGTAACAATATTGTCCAATTACAAAGAATTTGTATTGTGATAATAATTGCTGGCAATAAATAAATTAAAAAGTGACTTAAAATAATTAGACGAGGATTTTTTATAAAAACATTTCGATTATATATAATTTGTGCACCTCGACATGTATTTAATGCCAATAAAAGATAACTTTGTACTATATTTACATAAAATCTTGATGTGGCTTCAACATAACATAAAATTAATCGAAATGTTGGATATAAACATGCATCCCAATGATGCATAACATAGAAAATAAAAAATCGAGCTAGAATAAAAAAATCTGTTATTAAATATGCATATAACCACATCATATTTCTTTGTCTTAATGATGAAAACAGGATAACTTGAATCCAAAAGACAGTATGGATAAAAATAGCTATTGAACAAATGACAATAATAGGAGTAAGATTAAAGGTGGCAGTTGATGACCAACTTAGAGAAGTACAATTCATTATTTTTCAGTCACAACTATTTTCTATGAAATATTTTGTTTTGTATAATAGAACACTATTTTAAGAATCGGTCGCTTCAATCGTATTATCTTTAATAAAGTGATTTTATATGAGAATTAGTTGTAATAAAGACAGAGAACAAAATAAAATATTGATAGTGAGAATGCATCAACTTACTGTGATCATCAATAATAATCTTTATGAGGAACTCCATATCTCCAGAGTGTGACTGTTCCGCATTCAGCATAGTTTAATAAAAGAAAGAGATTACCACGTGAAAGAAGAAAAGGAAAAGTCAACAGAATGTGACATTACTGTCACTGCATCTTCTCCATTATAATCACCTTTCAACAATATTGAAGTCATTCTAAAGAATAATTAAATTTCTAGTTTTTTTGTCTCTTACAATACATATGTATTTCTCGTCGTGTTTACATAACAATACGTTATTAAGTATAACGGGTACTACCCAGTCAGGCAAGCTACAAAAAATAACGCGTTTTTACGCATAAAGACTGCATGGTTTTGTTAAAAATTTTAAAACATTTTTACGTGTTTATTTTTCTACTGAAATAAATGACTTTTTAGAAGAATCACAGCTATAATCTGTAGGCTTATGTTGTTTGCAAATGACCTTTATAGTTTTAGCAAACTGAGTGTACGAATTACAGCTGTCATTCTTCTAAAAGCTCAATTATTTCACTAAAAAAAAACACGTAAAAATGCATTAAAATTTTTAACAAAAATAAAATCGCAGAAATGTGCAGTCTTTATGCGTAAAAACGAGTTATTTTTCGTTGCTTGTCTGGCTGGGTATGTTCGTAAGATGAGATCATTATTAGAATTTTCCTTAAAGGCATAATAATTTAGATATTAGGAAAAAAAATCTTCTCTTATATATTGAGTTAGTCAAAGCATTGAATGTCAATTCTATACATACAGTTAGATTCAAAATGAAAAAACATCGTTTTAAGGTACCTTCTTTCCACTTCTTTCCCTCATAGATTGTTTATAATGAGCATCTAAATAATGATTTACCAAAGAGCATAAAGGATTCAAAAAAATAGACTATTATATTCAGAAAGAATTGAACTGGTTAAATGTGTTTTTAAATTAATATTGTTGAGAATTTATTTAATGATAATAATTAAATATTAATTGCTATTAACTAATAGTTGTAGAGAAATCTTGTCATAGTTTTTTATTTTAAACCATCCTGTGACAATCACTATTAAAAATTGAAGAAAATTTATTATTTTTTGTTTTAGAATAACTGATTTCGATGGGTTGTCGGAAGCATGCCTTCAAAATTAGATTAACATAGTTTTATTAGATGAGTAAATTTAGTCTTCAACGGAAACTTCAAATTTCTGAAAAATAGCACATTTTATAGAAGAAATTTTCTGCTATCTAGGGAAACCTGACAGTATTTCTAATAATGTAACAACAAACTAAAGGAGAAACTTACTGCAACTGTTAGCAATAACGTTTATTTAGCTAGTTCAAGGCTCCAGAACGTGAGCTATGTGAGAAGATGAGAAAAAGAAAATTATTTCTTATTCCTACTGACTCTCACCAACAACTAATGACTAAAGTGTCGAAAAATTAATGTTGTGACCCACATTTATTTGGATTGAGAACGACAACATAGATAACAAGACAACCATTTGAATTTACAATTGCTATATTATGAATAAAGATGTTTTAGAAAAAAAATTATTACTTTTTAAATCATTTTATGTTTTTCGTGGTGTCAGTGATAATTCTATTTTATTTACAGACTGTTTTAGTTCCACTATAGTGGTAGATGGAACGCATCATTATGTTCAAATGATAATGAAGCTTTTTTCAAAATTCTTAATGATTCATTTATTTATTGCTACTTTAATTAAGCCTTTTATGTATGAGATTTTTGAAGTTCAGCGGCTACCAATGAATTTTCTGAGCACGTACA